AATGGAATGACAACCTGCTCTCTGGGCCCAGTCTTCGTGACCCTACATGTTTATTAGAGAATCTGAGTTTTAATGGGTATTAGAAACACAGGAGGCTGGAGCACCTCTGGCCTGCTTGTAGGGAGAGAGCTGCCCCAGATAGTGTAGTCCATATAAACACCTAAGTCCAATGGCTGGCCATTGAAGGAGCTAGGAAATGCAAGCAATAGATCTTGGAGTGACGTTTAATGTTGGGAGTATTGATGTCCTTGCTCCCACCTTCTCTACCACTTCCTGGCACTACTGCAATAATATGTCCACTAGTGTTCTTGTAACCAAATGTATTCCCTTCAATCTGCTGTTCCTACTAGTGCTATACTTTGGAAAGCAAAGTTCTGATCACAGCACTATCCGTTTCAAAAGTCTTCAGGTATTCCATGTTGACTACAGAAAGAAAGAAAATCCCCTTAGCCATCTCCTAGGCTATTCTAATGTGAAGGACATATTCTTAGCTCCCCTGTGGAAAGAATGTTGGATTTATCATCACAGGAACTTAACAAAATTCAATACATATACATGTCACAACTTGAATAATACTCCTAGAAGTAATGTCTCACCTGTGACACATACTGAATTTTTGACCCTAAGGGCATTCTTTAACCTCCCTCTCAGGGTCCTATGGAACTCAAGTTGCAGAAAATGTAGCAATCTCCACTAACAGAAAGGTTTACTTACTGGTAATAACTTAAATCAATCATATAGCAGTTTCAGTCAAAAAAAAAAAAGTTGTGCAGATAACAAAAACCAAACAAAAAATGAAATTGACTTCACTACAACAAATAAGAAATGATGAAGTCATTTCAGAATCAGCTGTCTATTTGTAATTAAATATATATGTAATATGTATATATCTATGTATGTGTATATATATATATATATATACATATATATATATATACATATATATATATATATATATGTATATATATATATATATATACATATATACCAAAGGCTAAAATCAACAGCAAATTTTTTGAAAGAACAAAAGTGATCTATTCAAATAAATTATTGATGTTGGAAAGTAGGAAATGGATAAAAAGAGCTTTCACTCCTCATTTCATTTTTTGCTGTTATTTTACCAGTTTAAAGTAGGTTTCCCAACAAGTAGGCCAAAAGAATCTCGAAACTGCCTAACACAGCAAACATTTTATTTCTAGCTAAATACAGGTGCATGGTTGCCAGGGACAATCTAATTTGAAGTATAAACTCATCTATAAAACATTGCAGTCAAACACAGTGGAAGATGATGAATAGCAGTTTTTCACAATACAGAGAATCATAGTAGAGGGGGAAGAGTAGACAGAAAGCTTGACCCAACCGAGCCAGATCTTCTCAAGTATATTTTTAGATGAAACTAGAAGACAGACTTAAAATACATCATGTTTGACAAAGTCTCTGTAGGGTTCTTTTCTCATTATAAATGATAGTGAAACTGACACATTTGAACTTAGAAACACAGTACCTAATATGCTTAAATGAGGAAGGAGAAATACCACTTAAAAAATTAAGTCATGGGGTAGCTCGGTGGTGTAATGGATAGAGCTCTGGCCTTAGAGTCAGGAGGATCTGAGCTCAAACCCAGCCTCGGACACTTGACATTTACTAGCTGTATGACACTGGGCAAGTCACTCAACCCTCATTGCCTCACCAAAAAGCAAAAAAAAAGAAAGAAAAAGAAAGAAAGAAAGAAAGAAAGAAAGAAAGAAAGAAAGAAAGAAAGAAAGAAAGAAAGAAAGAAAGAAAGAAGAAAATAAGTCATGAGGCACAGACAGATAAGACTAAGAGCACAGAAGAAATCATTGTTGAAGGTATCATTCTGAAACCATTGGATCAGTTTTCAATAAAACTTTCAGAGGGGAGGGTACCAAATGTTTGAGGGAACCGGATAGAATTTTTCCCAATAAATCTGATTGATAAAACATTATCAAGATGGTGGATTAGAGGAAGCAACCTAGACAAATGCTCCCAACATTCCACTCCAAGCAACTTTAAAATAACCTCTCAAATCAAATTATTAAGCAGCAGAGCCAATGAAATGTCAGGGTGGAGGTTAGCAGGAGAGGTCTGTAACACTGGGGTAGGAGTTAGCAGACTAGCAGTGGGTCTTGGATGTGGCCACAACAGAGGCAGCAGTAGCTTCAGGAAATCTCAGCCCAAAGATGGTAAGAAGGTCAGACAACTGATCAGAAAGAAATTCCAAGGGCCTCTTTGGTGACATTCTGTGCAGGACTTGGCACTGTTTGGCAACTCAATATATTGCCCATAGGTGGTTCTGGGTCATAATTTCAGGGCAAAGAGGAGCACTGGTGGTGACTCAAAAGGGAGCAGAGGCCCTGGTTGCAATTCCAAGGCAGAGAAGAGCACTAGCATTTGGGGCTGTAGGAGAATAAGGGACTTGTTACAGTTACAGGGCCAAGAGGAGTGCTATCATTTGCAGCTACAGAGGAGCTGAGGCTATTCCTAAGTAAATGCCAGAGCAGGTGAAAGGGTAAAGACCACAGTTCTCCCAAAATCATGCCACCCTGAAAGAACTAAAAACTTACAGACCCCCAGAACTAGCTCTGAAAACAGTAACAAGAAAAATACTGAAGTTTGCCACAGCCTCCCCGCCACCCCTCTCCACCCCGCCAACAATCCTAGATGAGCAGAGCCCAACTTTAATATACAGATCAAAGTGAGGAAATAGGGTAGGGAAAAAAATGAAATTGAAAAGACAAACTGCCCTGATGTCCTAGAACAGAGGGCAAAGTAAAAATAGAAAGAATCCACCAATCACCCCCTCAAAGAGATCTCAAAATGAAAACTCCAAGGAATATTATAGCCAAATTCCAAAGCTCTCATGTTAAAGAGAAAATATACCAAGCAGTCAGAAATAATGTAAATAATGTAAATATCATGGAGAAAACAATTAGAATCAAATAATGTTTAGCAGCTTCTACATTAAAAGAGAGGAAGGCTGGGAATACGATATTCCAGAAGGCAAACGAGCCAGGATTACAACCAAGAAAAACAGTATAATCCTTAAAAAAAAAAATACATATATATATATTCAATAAAAATAGAGACTTTTAAGTATTCCTGATGAAAAGATCAGGCCTGAATAGAAAATTTGACATTCAAACACAAGACTCAAAAGAAGCTTAAAAAGTTAAAATGAAAGAGAAATCATAAGAGCCTCAATAAAGTTAAACTGTTTGCAATTCTATATGTACAGATGATACATGTAATTTCTAAGAATGTTATTATAACATTTAGAAGCAGTCTGCATAGACAGAAAACATAGGTGTGAGTTGATTATGTTAAGATGATCTCCAAAAAATGAAGTGTTGAGAAAGAGGGATGAACTGGAAGAAGAAGTAAGGGAGAGGAAAAATGGAGAATATTACCTCACTAAAAGAAGGCACACAAGAAGAGATTTTACGGTGAAGGGGGAAATGGATGGGGTGGCAGACAGTGGTTCAATTTTACTCTCCTTAGAACTGGTTCAAAGAAGGATAGATAGATAGATAGATAGATAGATAGATAGATGCTCAGTTGAGCATAGAAATCTATCTTACCCAATATGGAAATACGAGGAGGAGGGATTAAGAGAAAAGGGAAATTGTAAAAGAGAGAGTAGATTAGGGGAGGCAGCTGTCAGAAGCAAAACAGACTTTTTAGTAGGGATAGTACAAAAAGTGAAAGAAAAACAGAGAAAAATAGGATGGAGGGAATTGCACAATTAGTAATCATAACTGTGAATGTGAATGAGATGAGCTCATCCATAAATCAGAAATGGATAACACTAGAAACCAGAATCCAAGAATATGTTGTTTACAAGAGACACACTAAAAACAGGAAGACACAAATAAAATAAAGGAGCTGCAGTAGAATCTATTGTAATTCACCCTGAAATTAAAAAAAAGAAAGCAGGGGTAGCAATTACAATCTCAAACACAGCAAAAGCAAAAATAGACCTAATTTAAAAAGGTAATCAGGGAAATCACATTTTGCTCAAAAGGTACCATTGACAATGAAGTCATACCAACATTTTTTACAGCAAGTTTCTCTGATCAAGGCCTTTTACCAAAATATATATGGAAAGGAGACATTCCCCGATTGATAAATGTTCAAAGAATTTAAACACGCACTTTCAGAAGAAGAAATCAAAGCTGTCTATAGTCATTTGAAAAAATACTCTACATCACTATCGATTAGAGAAACACACATTGAAATAACTCTGAGGTACCACCTCACACCCATCAGAAATGACCAATACCAGAAATGATTAAGGAAAGAGGTACACTAATGAACTGTTGGTGGAGTTATAAATTGTTTCAACCACTTTGGCTATTTGAAACTAGGCCCAAAGGGCTATAAAACTTGGCATACCTAGCAAAACCTCTACTAGGTCTGTAAGATCAAATAAAAATAAAAGGACCTATGTGTACAAAAATAGTTACAGCAATTCTTTGTGTCAGCAAAGAATTGGGGATTGAAGGGATACCTATCAGTTGTAGGATGGTTGAACAACTGGCAGCATGTGATTGTGATGGAATACTGTTGTGCTAAAAGGGGGATGGTTTCAGAAAAACATGGCAAGATCTATGAAAACTTATGCAAAGTGATGCAAGAAAAACTGGGAAATCATTGCACACAGTAACAGCAATATTGTAATGGTCAATTGTGAAAAACTTAACTACTCTGATCAATACAATTACAAAGGACCCAATCCACCTCTAAAGAGAGAATTGATCAACTCTAGTGCAAGTTGAAGAATAGTTATCTCACCTTATTTTTTGTTATGTTTTGCATGATTGCACATGGACTATTAATATATTTCTCTCCTTTTCAGTGGGTAGGGAAAGTGCAGGAGGGAGAGAATTTTGTACTCAAAAACTTGTTTTTAATTTAAAAAAGAACAAAAATAAAAAGAACTCCTGTTATGACTTTTTCCAACAATGCATTTATTTTGGACATATACAAGAGATGGGCCCAAAAGTTGAATCAGTTAAAGAGAGATGATTGAGTTACATTTGCAAAACTATGTGGTTCTTTCAATGACCCCAAGACAATTTCTGAAATAAAATTCATTTTAACATAAAAAAGGAGAGAACAATATTAATTACCAACAAAAACAATAAAGAAATACAGTAAAATTACAAAGAAAAATCAAAACAAACAAAACAAAACACTTTTATAAAGGAGCCTTCTAGAATCAATGACATTTTTAGACAATATTCATAGCTTTTCAAATGTGTTACCAAACCTTCAGCTCTTAATAAACTTTATGCTCTTAATAAAAAACTTTCTACTCCATAAAATATAGATAAAAAAGGTTGAAATTCTGCTATGTACACAGAATAATAGCTCAGGGCTCTAGTCTCAGACTGGATGAAATCAAATCAAAGACTTTACAGAATGATTGCCCAATACTGTTGAATGTCAGTAATCAAAAACTTTTAGCTAATATGACAACTTTGCATTTACATTAATAATTCTGACCAATAGATGAGGAGGGAAACTTGCAGCTGAGACACTTTTTTTGTTCTTTGGACTGTCAGAAACTCCCACTGGAGAGAATGACAAAACAATGATGATAGAGCAATTACAATCCTTTTAGGAGATGAAGTCATGCTGTGACTTCCTATAACTCCAGCTCCCACTGTCCTTCTCCACAAACACTCTCTCACAGACCTCACTTCAAGGACAGCACAAACTAATTCGGGTAAGCAACATTATTTATTAGCTTCTTAGTAAAAGGACTGAAGTCTTTTTTTTCTTTAAATCATTGTTTCTTTTTTTTTTTTGAAATAATGTAGTTTCAATATGTTTCCTTTTCTTCAAGACAGTTTTGAAACACTGTTGTTTCTCTCATTCATAATGCCTTTTCACCATTATTTTTTGTTCTCTCATTTTTTCCTTTTCTATTATTTCCTGTCTTCTCTTTACCTATCTCATTCCCCTTTTATTCATTTCCCTTTTTTCACCCATTAAAACGGGTGAACAGAAAGAGCATTATATTGGAAGACAAAGCCCCTAAGTTTGAATTTGTCTTTACCACTTATTTAGATCATAAGAAGATAGATTTAAAATGGGAAAGAACCTTAGAGCTCATCCAATCCAATCCTAATTTTATTGATGAAGGAATTGAATCTCAGAGGGCTGGAATGTCTTGCACAGGTAATAAAGTCACACAGGTAATAAAGGACAGTCAAAGGTATAACTCAGATCCTTTAACAAGTCCAGCATGGGTTCCATAGCACTTCCTGTAAGACCTTAGGCAAGGCACTCTGGGCCTCAGTTTCCTCATCTATAAAATGAAGAAATTAGACTAAATGAACTATAAGATCTGTTATAGCTCTAAATGCAGATCTTATGAACCTTTTCTCCTTTTGCTGGACTCCTTTTTATTTCTTTCGATCATCTCTTTCCTTTTTTCTTCATACATTGACACTCTATTGCACTGTGCATTTTTCCCTTTTCATTTTGTAATGCTCACTTTCTTTCTTTTCTTAAAACCATAGAATCATATATTCTTAGAGCTGGAAAGGACCAAAAAGTGATACAGACCAAGTACTTCACTTTATAAATGAGGACAATGAGCCTCAGAGAAGTTTTTCAAGAATATGAAGCTAATTAGTTAGAATTATTAGAGTTGCTAATAGATTCCAAGCTCCCTGACTCCTGAGCTAGTGCTAGACACCACATTGCTTCATTTGCTGGTTTTACTTCTTTCTTCACCTTGTATGTCCTCTCATTTACTTTGTTCTACCTCTTGTCCTTTGGGCTATATATGTCATGCTTTTTTCTATACTGTATATCTTGTCCTCTTTTTTCCTGTATACTTTTCACTCATTTCTCTAAGCTCTCTTCTCAATTTTTCTTCTATTCTGTTTTCTTTTTCCATTCATTTCACTTTTCTCCACATTGTACTTTTTCACCCCTGATCATCTCTATTTTGTGTCTGGTTTAAAGTGCTCATCATGGCTAGTTATGAAACTTTTCTTTATACACATTTGTAAATGTGCCTGACAAAGGTGTCTGTAAAGCCTGAGAAGCTTCTGTATTGCTTCATGTGACTTTTTACAGTTAGATTATTGATCACAGTGGATAGAGTGCTAGACCAGAGTCAGTAAGACTGCCATTGAAATCTGCCTTCTGGCTTCTTGTTACTATGCTTAGCAAAGTGGCTGGCACATTTAAAGGTTTTTGATGTAATTAAATAATATAATTAGTTTTGTAATGAATATGATTTATGTTGCTAATTCATTTTCTAAAGTTGAAATACTCTTGCATTCATGATAAAAATACAATTTTGACACAATGAAAATTTGGGGGTATAACTTGCTATAATTGCTAATATTTATTTAATATTTTGCCTTGTAATATATTTCAGTATTCATTAATTATATTGGTCTGCAATTATCTTTCTCTGCCATATCCTTTTATTATTCTGATATAAAGATCATACATATAATTCCAGAAAAACTGAATATTATTGATTTCTTTTTTATTTTAAAAAACAGCTTATAAATATTGTTATTTAAATTTTTATACAATTCACTTGTGAGTAACACATTACTTTTGATACCATTCATAATTAGAATGGAGTATACATGTCATTGAATACAGCACCAGTACTTTACAGAGAGAAATCAGAGAGTTTAAGGGACTGATCCAAACTCAGATAGCACCTTAGAATTGAATTGTTGTTGTTGTTATTGTTCAGTTATTTCAGTTCTGTCTGACTCTTCATAACCCCATTTGATGTTTTCTTGGCAAGGAGACTGAAGTGGTTTGCCATTTTGTTCTCCAGATCATTTTACAGATGAGGAAACTGAGGTAAACACAGTTAAGTGACTTTCTCAGGGTCACATAGCAAGTAATTGCCTGAGGCCAGATCTGAACTCAGGTCTTGATGATTCCAAGCCCATCGTTCTTTAACATTGTCCTCTCGTGTCCATTAATAACTTACTCAAGGTCATACAGCTGCTTAGAATCATAAATCAGAACCACAACCCAAAGGCCTTTGACTCCCAGGAAAATGTTGGGATACAGTACTTTACTACACAAAATAGTTTGATTTCCAATATATTACCTTGGAGGTTTTCCCTGTATTGCCTGTAAGGGTGTAATCAAAATTGAAATGGTTTTCTTTCATGAGGCAATATGGTACATGGGAATAACAATTGCATTTAAAAGTCTGCTTTCAATTCCCAGGGAAGCCAGGTGGCACAATGTATATTAATCTCAGTGAACCTCAATGCTCTCATCTTTAGAATGGAGATATTCAACTGTATCACTGTTAAGGCCCTTTTAAGGAATATGTCTGTGTCTATGACTAAATGGGGAAAGTATTTCCTTTTGCAACTAGGAAAGATCATGAAGAAAAGTATAAAAAAGTACATGATAGTGTGGTAAAGAAGGCAGACTTAACTCCTAATGGAAGAGAAATAAAAGAGAAGCTAAAGGCAAGCTGTAGTTACAACAGGTTTCATATGTCATAGCATGGTTCTGTTTTAGTTTTTTGTTTGTTTTAGAATGGATCTATCTCTAAAAACCAATCAAGTCAAGGAAAAGCAAGAACAATTAGTCCAGGAATTTGAAATGATAAACATCATACTACCGTGAAAAAGAATTTTTCATTTTTCAAACTTTCCTCACAATACTTTGCAGTAGGCGATACAAGAATTATTATGCCATTTTGCAAATTTGGTAACTGAGGATAAGATAATTTAAGAGCCTAGCACAGTGTATTATATTTAATGGGCACTTTCAGCAATCATATCATCACTAAATAAGAGATTTAAACCTATATCTTTGAACTCATGCTACCTCTCCACACATTCAAAATTTCTTATAGCCTGTACCATACGTCACAGGGAGCTCTGGAACTGTACTGCTTAATGACCTGATTCAGAAGTCAACAGGGGAAGTTATTAACTCTTGTAAAGATTGACTTAAGCCAGATTTCCTTCCCTTGTGTCTTTCCTTAGACCAAGAAAAGACTTAGTTACTGCTATTTATGCTACGCCTTCCATGAACAAAGAACTGCCTGATCTTCCTTTCAAAATGGCCTCTTTCCTTGACTCTGCCTATGAAATTTCCAGAACTGGAAAGGTCTGCTTTGGAAGGTAATGGGAACTGAGGACCCTAGAAGTATCCTAGCAAAAACCAAAAGAATCACTTTTTAAGGTATAGAGCAGAGGTCAGGTATGACTTGGACCAGATGGTTTTGGGGTCTTTTCCAAATCTGAAATTTTGTGACTCTTTGATTTAAGGCACAGATACTAAACCATATTTTATACTCACAGAAAGCCCATCATCTGAAAAGTTGATTAGCAAGCTCATTGATGAGGACATTCAGGCTGTATGGCAACTAAGATCTTCAACCCTGATACCAACCACACACAGGTATGAAGGTCTATTTTGTCAGATCATATTTCATTTCTCCCCTACCCCTAAGGTGCTTTCTAAAGGTGGGCTATATAATATTATAGGAAGCAGAGTGGGTGACATCAGGGAGGCACAACAAATGATGTCAAGTGAATGAGGCTAGCAATGTCACAAAAGTGTGGGTTGAACACTGGAAAGTTTTCCATGTTGCATCATAAAGCAGCAAGGTTAAAGAATTTGAATAACAATGTGAAAAGTTATAACTTCTTTCTATTCAATCAGTCCTATCGAAATTTGTTCATTTCTCTGGAAAACATTCATCTACCTTATGTCCTCAGAATTCCATCACTCAAGAATTCATCAGCACTACTTCCATGAAATGCCATTGAAGGGTGTCTGGGTCCTCCTTCTATACCCTAAAAAAACCCAACAGAATGCTTCTAAGTGATCTGATCTTGGGGATTTGTACCTTCTTTCAAACTGTTCTTGGGGTCCTGGGGAATTCGCGACTATTCATGATATACATCTATATCTTATATATTCAGCCCCACCATAAGAAACCCATAGATATGATAATTGCCCATCTGACACTAGCTAATGTTATGACACTTAGCACTAGAGGAATTCCTGATACTATGGTCTACTTTGGGGCAAAAAATGTTCTGGATGATGTTGGGTGTAAGATGATCATGTATTTCTACAGGTTGGGTAGGGGGCTCTCTATTGGTACAACCTGTTTCCTGAGCATATTCCAAGCCATCACTATCAGCCCCATTCATTCAAGATGGGCATGGCTAAAACCCAGAATAAGCAAATATATACTTCTTTTCTTCTTTTCTATCTGGATCATCAACATGTTGATCTACATCTGTGTCATTGATGCTCTCCAAGCCAGTGAAAATTTCACTGTGTACAAACAAGGTTATTCTATGAGATACTGCACCACTAAACCAGATGCTTATTACATGGTTAAATATGTGTTTCTCACGGTCACAACTATCCGAGATTTCTTCTTTCTTACTCTAATGAGTCTGGCCAGTGGTTACATGGTGGTATTTCTCTACAGCCATAAAAAGAATGTTCAGCACATTCATAACACCAGCCTCTCCTCTAGGCCTTCCTATGAGGCCAAGGTTACCCAAACCATCCTGTTATTGGTGGGGTTTTATGTAATATTTTACTGGATTGGTTGTTGCCTTACAATATACTTAACTTTTTCTCCTAAGAAAGATATGGTGTTGGGTGGCATTGGTTCTGTCCTAAATGCTTGTTACCCTGTTCTCTGTCCTTTCATATTGCCCAGCACTGACTCCCAGGCTGCCAGGCTACCCTGCATCCTCAGTAAAAATCCAGTCCAAAGCCCTCAGTTCAAAAGTCCATTGCATGGGCAGTTCATTCCATATTCCACTTTTCCATTAAGAGACTTCAAGTAAATGAATGTGTTCTGGGAATCCTAATGGGGAATGTCTGTGCTCATTGGCAAGGACTTTTTCCAAAAGAGATTAAGAACATCTGTATTATCTATTAACTGAACCAGAAAGTGGTAGTACTGTTTGTGGTTAGGGGACAATAGTCAGGGGAATAGGGAGAAAGTTGAAGAACATCTATCATGCCCTACATAAATGGATTTGATTCTACATTGTGATGGACCATCCAAAATGGAACATAAGGCTATGCTTTTCCATCCTTGAATGCCTTGCATCCTTGACCTTCCCATTGTTTCCTTAATGTTAACCTTCAATCAAAGCTAAACTCTATGATTGAGTTCTTCCTCATACTTCTCAGCCACTGGTCAATGCTGGAGGAAATAACTGAATCTTGCTGACTGTATCTTTTGAATCTCAACTGGACTTGCCCTGCTGCACAGAAATTCTTTCAATAATCTATTCTTGGCTCTCTTTTTCTTTATCTCTAGCTCTCCTTCTCTATGGCAGTTATTCCATATAGTTTCTTCTTTTCTTCAAGATGCTAATGGTACTTTTTGCTGTCCTTAATCTCTCCGACCTCTGTTCTCCAGTTGATATTGCAGTCTGTATCCTCCTTTGTCTACTTTTCTTACTAGTCTTCATATAACATTTTTTATCTGTGCACAAAAAAAAAATGAATTCTCTCTAGAAATCACAAAAGCCTCATTCTCCAGTGTAGGTTGATTGTGCCTTATCTCATGCCCTGCCAGACTGGAACTGGGAAAGGAAATGGCCTATGAGGCAACTGCCTCTTCAAGACCCACTGATTTTAAATATCTTCAAACTCTCCTTCCTTGAGCTTCACTCTATCCCTCTGTTTCTCTTCCACCTATAACATTCTCGAAATCAAGTATAGCTGTTCTTTTCTTTCTTTTTTAATTAAAAGTTCATTAATAACTCAGTCATTTTCATATATAGTCACCTTATGAGTCCCTCATTCCCAGTAAGACTTACCTCACAACCATAACCAGAAATAAAAATTAAGAAAAGCTACACAGCACAATGACTGTGTCTGCCCACTTTTCTCATTTTCTGTACCCATTATGTCCCATCTCTCCACCACCATACCTTTGTACTTATAGACTTTTATATACACATTGATGTTCCTCTATAACTAGTTCCAAGTTGTTCAACTTCTTTAAAGTCCATGATCTAAATTTTACACCACTTCAGTCACCATTAACCATGGGTGTTAATCACCACCATGAATAACCATGGCCTAGACCTCTGAATCTTCTCTGATCAAAATCACCTTTCCTTCCATTTATCTTTCTGTTTCAATCCTGTTCTTCATCTTCACTGTAACTTCTCTCCCTCTGTGCTCTCCCATTTCATTATTGCTGGCCTCACTTCCCTTCATCACAATCTGACCCTGAATTTATCCAATTCAACTATACACAGCTCTCTACCCTTAAATTCTTTGCTTTCTCTATCTTACAGTTGTTCATTCCCTGCTTAAGTCACTCCACCTTGCATTTTTCTCACTCCTACTCTTGTGCTACTGAACAATTCTGGGTTCTCATTCTTGTACAGTGTTCCTTTAGCTCTTCTCTAAATGATTATCACAATTCCCATAATTGGCATTCCAAACTGCTTTGTCTCTCCTCAGGACTTCAATCTTATTTCTACTCCCTTTTTCTAAGCAGATGCTATCACCCTCTGTTTTACTGATAAGACTGAGGCTAACAGTCATGAGTTTTCTCATCTCACCTATTCCACTCCTCAAAACCCATCCACTCCACCTTTATTCCAGTCTCTGAGGGTAAGCTGGTCTTTGCTCATCATTAAATACACCTTTCACTTGTGCCTTTGATCTTGCTCCATTTCAACACAGCACTTCTCCATATACCACTCCTTCTATCTCACTCAACTTCAGTCTCCCTCCCCATGTTTAATAACTTCTTTCTTGCTTCCTACAAACATGTACAGACCTCCTCATCCTTAAGCAACCTTGAGTTTTTACATGTCTTCCTCTTAAGATATGGTCATATACTTCTCCTCACTAATACTACCAAGTTCATATCAATAAGCATCTGTTCTCATTGTATCTTCTTCTTCACCAAGGTATTATTTCTCAAACCCTTACAATAAGGTTTTAGACACACAACTCAATGTAAAGTGCTCTAAGAATATACTAAAATGATCTCAACTTCCAAATTCATTTGCCTTTATTTTGTCTTCACCCTCCTTGATCACTTGGCAGCATTTGACACTGTTAACTAAGCACTTACTCATACTCTCTTCTTCCACATCACTATCTAATTCAGGGGTAGGGAACCTGCAGCATTGAATTCCACATGTGGCCCACTAGGTCCTCAAGTGCAGCCCTTTGCCTGAATGTTCTGTGAAGTTTGGACTCAGTCAAAGGGCCACACTTGAGGACCTAGAGGGCCACATATGGTTTGGAGGTAATACGTTCTTCACCCTTGAATAGTTCTTTTCTTACCTGCCTGACCAATCATTCTTTGCCTTATTTGCCGGTTCATCAGAAAATTTCCACACTATGCTTCCATGTGTATATGTGTATGTATATGTGTATGTATGTATGTGTGTATGTATACATATATGGAGTTTGGGAGATAATACATACATACATACACACACATATCTTACTAGATGTGTGTATTTATGTCTACATGTATATGTGTATGTATTTGTGTGTGTACAGAGAAAGAAATTCTTAAAATTAAAGGACAGAGAAGACTGTCCTACACCAAAAATTTATCTACCATTGGGGCCATATTTTCTTAAATTGAGTGTATGATACAATACTACCAGGAAAAATCTGGTGGGAAGAATAGTGTCATCAATGGCTGTGTAAGGAAAAGTCATTTATTTAAAGGCCAGGACCATCAGTTACGGATTTTTTTTATTTCTTTCTCTGTGGCAACTTATTATGACCTACAATTAAAGCAGCTTCTCATAGGGCAGGACACTGTATCTTAGCCATTTAAGTAAGTACTTAAGGTCTTTCAGTACTACTTACATCCCATGAGTGTGAAAGACTTCTTTACATAATTCTTCTCAATGGACATTTTAAGATTCCAATGTCATATATTTTCACAGCTACAAAATTGGGTTTCAAATATTTTCTTTAAATATAAAGGGGGGAAAAGATGCCTAACCCCCAGCTATTGAACATGAACTTCACTGGAAAGAGTCCTTGGGATGCTATTCCTTGATTCTCTTTAGAATATTATTGAAAAGTATGCTTCATACATGATAAAGAAAATATTATAAAGAACATAGCAAAATAGCAATCCCAATAATAAACAATATCCCACTTTTTTAATGCCATCATCTCTAAAGAGACTGAAAAACTATGATGTTTGCTGATCAGCATGTACTGCTTTCAGACATAGAAAAATCTAACAAAGGCATAAAAAAAGAAATCATAGATATAGATAAAATTTTAGAAAACTTAGATATGGTGTATTTCTTGCAATTATTATATAGTAATAGAAAGATAGGTTATATATATATATGTATATGCATGTGTGTACATACATATATATGTATGTATGTTTGTATGTATGTATGTATGTATGTATGTATATTTCTCAGTTTGCATGATGCCTTTACAAAAATAGACTATATTCAGAGGCATTAAAAACTTGATTTAAAAAAATTAAAAAAATTCTAGGGCTATATCCCAGAGAGATCACACAAATAGGAAAAGGAGCCACATGTACAAAAATATTTATAGCAGCTCTTTTTCTGGTGTGAAAGAATTGGAAATTGAGAGGATGCCCATCAATTGGGGAATGGCTGAACAAGTTGTGGCATATGAATGTAATGGAATACTATTGTCCTATAAGAAATGATGAACAGGCTGACTTCAGAAAAAACTTGGAAAGTTTTATGGTCTGGAAAGACTTATATGGTCTGATGAGCAGAATCAGGAGAACGTTGTACACAATAACAACCATAATGCAAGATGACTAATACTGACAGGCTTAACCTTCTCAGCAATACAAGGATCTAAGACATCTCCAAAGGCCTCATGACAGAACATGCTAACTACATAGGAAGAAAGAAATATGGAGTTTGAATGCAGATTGAGGCATACCATTTGCTATTTTTTCTTCTGTTCTGTTTTGTTTCCTCTTTCTGGTGGTTCCTCCCTTTGGTTCTAATTCTTACTTACAACATCACTAATGTGAAAATATGTTTAATAGGAATGTATATGTATAGCCTATATCAGATTGTGCACCACCTTGGGGAGGGAGGTGGAAAGGGAGGGGGAGAAAAATTTACAACTCAAAAGCCTATGGATGTGATCATTGATAATTCAAAATAAATTAATATTTAAAAAAATAAAATAATTTAAAAATAAAAGAAAGAAAAAGGAATATGAAACAAATTCTTAACAAATTACAATGGAAATACAATTTTTAAATAAATAAAGACAGTGGGGCAGGTGGGTGGCACAGTGAATAGAGCACCAGCCTTGGAGTCAGGAGGACTTGAGTTCAAATCCAGCCACAGATACATAACACTTACTAGCTGTGTGACTCTGGGCAAGTCAATCAACCCCAACTCTTACTGAAGTTGCAAAACTATCTAATTATTCTGGAAAGTAATTTAGAACTATACTTAGCAAGTCACTGAACTGTATATATACTTTGACCCTAAGATACCACACACTACTTTGCCTCACCAAAAAATAAATAAATAAAGATCATTTGAAGAAAGATTAAAACTTAAAATCAGAAACAATCAATAATTTCATCAAAGAAAATAGTAACAGATAGTTGCGGGGGCAGAGCCAATATGGTGGAGTGAAAGCAGTGACTTGCTTGAGCTCTCCCCCAGACCCCCTCCAAATACCTATAAAAAGTGTCTCTAAACAAATTCTAGAGCAACAGAACCCACAAAAAGACAGAGTGGAACAAATTTCCAGCCCAAAACAACCTGGATGGTTGATTAGAAAGATATATTGTGCTAGGCGTAGAGAGGAGGCAGTG